GGCTGAATATATCTTCTCGTGACGCATTTGTCAGCCGCATCCTGCTTCCTGGTCACCTCCTCCAAATCCCTCGATTAAGTTGGTGTGTGTGGATGGAAAGAACACCGGAATGACTGACTTTATGATGACTGTAACGCAAATCTGATGATCGATTCTATCCGACCTACTTCTCTGTAATAAGTATACTGCCGGCATTTACCAAGCTTTATATAGTAGGTGTCAATGTAGTTGAGAATTGAACAATCAATTCATGGTTGTTTGCTCAAAACCAACTTTCCCAATTTTCGCATAGGCATCAATACACCAGTCACCGTCTCATCGGTTGCTGTTCAGAGAGAAGTCAGAAGATAACCGTCAGAAGTAATATTGTGATTTATTGTCGTAATATTTGTTCATAGACCTTAGTTTTAAAGCTTAGTTTTAAAGTTGGCGTTACAATGAAGAATTCTCGAGTGGCCAATCGGTGTTTTGGTTTTTGCGTCCGTTGTTACTAAGCGTTTCTGGGAAACTTCAAGGAACAGCGTGAGTCCCAGTGTAGCAAGAGCTGGGCATTGACGGTTTACGAGACGTGGCTGACAGTAGGTAGAGGAAAATTTAAACATTAAGCGACAATAAGTATCAATGGAGCACGACTGCACCAATGATTTTGAATGGACCTATGAGAGTGCTGGCGTGAGTTCCAAGTTTTATTCCTCTTTGTTCCAGGCAGATGCTTGCTCTAATGGACTTATGTCTCAGATTCGGTGTTGACAAAATGTCTCAAGATCGTTTAGATTTGGATTAATTGGAAGGAAAGAATTAGTTCTTCAGGAGATATGATGAGCAAAGAAAGCTGTAGCAGATTTGTTGAAAGACGCTTATCACTGTAAGGTCTGTTTGAGACGATTTAGTGTGAAACGAAGTAAGCTGGTGGTTATATTATTTCTCTTTGAGTATAGGGGTACTACACTGTGTGCCGGTTGTATGGTTGTCTTCGGATAAGCATAATAGGTTCCTGCAATAAATCCAAAGTATACAACACGGTACAGGTGGAGCAAGTAGACAGCAATGACCAGTGAGAAGGCGAGGCTACCAACAGTACACTGTATTTCGAATTGTACTCGAAAGTTATATGTATTTAAACATGAATCGTTTTTAACCAGTCATGTACAAGGACTCCGATTTCAACATTTAACAAAAAGTGTGCAATCATATTGTTACGTACTCCACAACCTCCCCTCCGAAAAGCTATGTCACAGCATTCATCCTTTACGACTCTATACATCTGCAATATTGGGACGATTAGACAGTAGAAATCAAAGAATGCTTCGTCTATTCAGGTGTGGTTGTCAGCTAAGTCTTCGAAACCCAACAGTGACGGACAGAATGTGTGCTAGTCAGCGACAAATTCGATTTAGTGGAGAAGGTTCTTATAGGTGAATGAATAAAGTGCGATAGCGCTCATAGTTGCGCTGTAAGAATAATTCCTGTAATCTAACGAACGGTGTGCATTCAAGGTTCTCGGTGAGGTCGCGATTCATGATCGATAACACTTAGGTCGGCTGGGTTAATGCTTCCTGAGGTTTCCATTACTAACTAACACTTTCTGAGAAATAAAAACGACTACTGTAGTCCTGAATTATTCAGTTATGCAAATGAAATAACAATAAACACCTGCTGTTCAAAAGATTACAAATTTAAGGTCACCTTTGAAGCGCCTATTTAGACTTGAAATAAATACATCATGGAGCCCAACTAATACTACACAAGTTTCTGAAGCAGACGGGTTAAGTAGCGCCAGCGTATATTAAAATGGTGAGTGTCAAATGTCTCGTTGAATAAAAGGTGACTTTGTTATCCATACTGGGGGCAGCAAACCACATGCTAGTAACACTCTGTACAAGGTGACTCAATATATCACTGTTATTTTCATTCATAAGTCCTTATGTGTATTGGTATTCGACGTATTCCAAATGGTTCCTCCATTAGCTTCATAAACAACATTCCTCCATCATTCTCAACAGTTCTCTAACTAATCTCAGTCAACTTGTATTCACTTCATAATTTACTTAACTTTCAGTATTGATTTTGTCATGAACCAACATCAGTTCGATGGAAAAGGGTGAGCCGAGCAGCTGTTTCGTCGTGGTCGCAAACTCTTCATCTGTTTGTACCTATAATGAAAATCTCCCCTTCAGTGATGGTAATATGTGATAATGAGGAGAACAACCAAAAAGCTTTACTCCGTGAGTTTTTCAGTCGTCAAAATCACCACGCTTTTTTACATTTCATGATTTGGATTGATTTCATTTTAAGAGTAAGCATAGATGCTATCTGAACACAATTCTTTGTCATTTCTTAGTCAAGTATCGTTCAACAGACAGCCAAACTTGTATCTGTCTGTCCGGATTCAACATGGAACTTGGCACCGAAGTGCACCAGTTCGAGTTGCCACCTTCCAAATAGCACACAAAGGTAGACAAGACGATGAGTGAAGAGAATCAATAGAGTTTGACAAGAATGAGAGCGAAACTGAATGGGTAATAGTAGAAAGAAATATGAAAGATTACAGAGACTGAATACATCTGCGCCACTGACAACGAGTTTGAGCCATGTAACCTATTGTCTCTAGCCCTTGATTCCTAGAGTCCCGAAGGCCCCAACCCGGAAGTCTGCATCTCCCTACCTGACCGACTCAGTTTAACTGTCAAGGATTTCATGGATTGATGAGGCCATGTTTTTGTTTGGTCACCACTTACTCTTTTCCAACCTTCACCTATGTCGGCTAGTAATGCCCGTCGGGGGGAGGCGATGGTTAGGCATGCTCAGAACGTGGCGCAGCCATCTCAATCTATGTAACTTTATAGCCTCGTCGATTGATTTTCCCTCTTTGCCTAACTCTACGCGTAACGTCAATATTACTTACCTTATTATACCACCTAACGTGAGACAGAGATCGCAGACATCTATGATCGAAAGCAGTCAACCTTTACATGTCTTCAACTCGTATTGGCCATGTTTCAGAGCCATAGAGAAGGATGGAGCGAACTGATGAGCAGTACACACGTCCCTTGGTTAATAGCCGGATGTCACGCCTACGCCAGAGATGGTGTAAGTCAGCGAAAGCAGCTCAAGCTTTTTGGGTCCGTGCTGAGATTTCATCGCCAATCAGTCCGCTGGTGCTGACACAATTTCCTAAATAGGTGAAGTGGTCAACATGTTCTATCACTTCACTCCCTATCACTAAGCTAGGAGTTGACGTGGTCCACTCCTGTAGCAGCATCTTACATTTTGCAGGGCGAATCGCATGCCAAGCATAAGAAGATTGCTGCTCAAGGTGTTCAGAAGACTGCATTTTGTCACCATCCTCCACTAACAGGACTATGTCATCTGCATATTCTAAGTCCATAAGACTATTCCCTGGTAACAGGTCGACTCCTAAGTCGCTATGTTCAGTTGAGGATACTTCCATCAGCATATCTATGATGAAGTTAAACAGAAATGGGGAAAGTGGACATCCCTGTCGGACACCACTGGTTGTTACCAATTCAGACGACAATTCCCCATAAGCCCTTACACGGCTATATGAGTTTGAATAGAGTGCCTTGATTGGTGCAATGTACTTTCTTGGCACTCCCTTCACAGTCAAACTGGTATCAATACATCTTATTTGAGGATGTAAACATTAAGCGAGTTTGTGTACTTCATTTATATTTGTCCAAATAACAAAATTTTGAAGTGTTTCATGAAGACAACACGTTGAACATTTGAGCTTCAGCTTCATTTCCATGCTTTTTTTTAAGATATGCATAAGAAAGCAGCTTAGTAGACGTAGTAAATTCAAAGTTTCGGCCTAACAACTTCTTAGTCGTATGTGCAATGCCTTATTTATCTTAAACATTTATTGAACATTATTACTACCTCCCTTTTTGGGCGTATATTATAAGGTGTTAGAATCACGTATTTCGTTAAAATACGATTTATTATCAACAACACTCCCTCAATCTCGTTTGCCTTTATCCTCTCCTGCAATGTAAAAAATATGCACCTTCACAAACCCACCAATCAGCTCTCCCTACTTACTTAACACTCTACGCTTAACCTAAATATTGTTCCAACAAAAAGTGAGAAATTGAACGCAGACACTTATGGCTAAAAAGGACCACCTTGTCTATATCTCCCACTTTCAACTGATAGACTTCACAACCGTGAAGACAAACGAGGTAGCCTGCTGTTGACTGAAAATATAATTAGATTCCACATTTATAAGGACAGAGACCTAGCACATGCCCCTAAAGAATAATGTTCGCATGCACATTATACTACAGCTACTACAACGATGGATTACTTATTCTTATTTGTTGTCGGGGTATTCATTCACAGAGCAAGCATGTTCAATTGACCTTCTTACTTACACCTCACGAACTGATAGAAGAGCACATCTTACGCAATTAAAGGTATTACTTACGCAAACTAATAATGAGATAATCATGAGAAAAACTCAGTAGAACCTAAGGATAATCGACACTGTAGCCTACTACGAAGTTTTACAAGTTAACTCACTGGTCAGGTAAACGAAACTTCCCAGTACGTTTTAAACATAGAATAAAAATTAGAATCTAATTCATCTGTTCTACCTGGTTTATTCACTGCATATTCTCCCTATGTGATTACAGAAATCGAAACGCAGGCAACCGTACACGAAATCAAGAAGTTCCTACTTTCTCGAGTCATCCATTTGCAGAGCGCCCAGTAGCTTTGCCCACCCAAACCGTGAGTTGTTATTATTCTTTAAAGGAAATCATTGAGTGTAAAGACGACAGGCATCAATTAGTCTCGAAGAACAACTAATATCAAGAAATCAAACTTTATTTATCAGTCTCCTTTCAATTAAAGAGACTTGTACAAAAAAATAATCACTTAGCAGTCAAAAGAAAAACAACAACAGAAAATTACTAAATCGAAAAAAACAACAAGAACGATGGAAATGTATAGGGGGTATGCGTGTTGCCTATTTTTTTTTACACATTAATATTCAGCAGTCTGAAGAAAGCACGATCGTTTGGTTCACGGCCAAGAAAATCTTTCAACATATCAACTGCATCTTTTGAACCACCAGGACGTAGAATTTTCTCCCGATAATCTTTACCAACAGAACGGCTTAAACAACCACCGTCTGCAGCACATCGAAAACGTGATTCAAACATATCAGCACTGAATACTTCACTCCACTGAATTAAAAATAAAATACAACAGAAGGAAAAATTAGAGTTCCATTCAAATACGTCTGCACTTCTGTAATAACCAGCCAATAATATATCAAGGGAAAGAGATGTGTGCTCGAATAATTCGAAGGAAGACCGAGACCTGTAAAAAGTTTACATGGGATGTCTCTCAAAAAATGAAAGGGTAAATACGACCGCATGGCACTTACAACCGGACTGGTGGATATGCTAGTCTACCAACAGAAGCTGAGGAACTCTGTTCTAAGAACTTCAGAATCCGAACGAACCGAATGGCACACGAAGCAGTTTCGGTTACGATAAATGATGAAAACGCAGCTCCTGACGCCTCTTCACTGCCTTGTGCACCAGGCTTTAAGTTAAAGGCTAAGGGAATGGGATCGTCCTAAAAGACAACCACCTGCTTCGGTCAATGCTTCCGTGAAGTATCCCAGCCTTCACACAAACTATGAGACTTTGTGTGGCACATCTCTTGGTGTCTATAATGTACCTAAACTTGTGTATTTCATTTTTTGGGGCAATCAGAAATGGAGAGTTACCACAGTTATAACTTCAAATAACAAAAAACACCACTGTACCCACTTTCTATAATCTAATCGCCATTCTGCTTGTTACATATAATGACTATAGAAAAAAATTTCCTTGGTTGTGAATCCCATCTACTAGACAAATGCAGCTGACCATACATTTGGATGGTATAGCATCCTATTCGATACACAATACGGATTAGAAAAAAGGAACTTAAAAGGCAAGGTGTAAATTTTTGAATCGACGACAGGTGATTCGCATTACAGTCCAGTGGCTGTAGGATTAAAGTGAACAATTGAAATGTGACTAGATGCATTTCATTTGTTTGTATAAATATATGGAAAACTCCTACTAGAACATGTAGACAGTAAAAACAAGCAGAATAATTGAGGGACAAGATCATAAAATGAAACAGGCAGATATACTAACCTGGGGACATTTATTAAGCCTTCACCACCACCTCCTATCACTTTTAAAAGGACAGGGAAAGAAGGGAGTTCGCCACCAACTGTGACTGTCAGCCAGGTGTCTGATAACTTTTTCAGCCACTGAGTAGTTGGGTAATATTTAAGAGACTACCCAGGGAGACATGGTGCACTAAGATATGTCAACCTACCACAACTTCCCTTCATTCGACGACGTTAGTTCATGAGTTGATCACTACTTTGATTTCCCCACCCAGTTGCAAGCCTAGTGAACAGCGTAAAGTGTATAGGAGCCGGTGGGATAACATTGATTCAAGCCATCGAAGCCAGTATTCCCAGATGAAAACACCTATGGAGAGAAAATCTCCACCATGTCCGAACACTCACCTCTGGACCTCATAACTAGCTTACATGATGATGTCTAATGGCTGGGAGCAATACTGCAGAGGCAGCGATAACTAGACAGGTAGATATCTTATGTATGTACATGTCTAAAGACACAGTTTACAATACGCTGAGACACACGCACATAAACAAACTAAATAACTATACGGGATACAATTGCGGTGTTATAGAAATGGAACCATATGAAACTATAAGATGACTGGTTAAACTACAAATAATACGCGAATTCGCTTACCATGTAACCATAATAACGTGCATCATATCCACCGGCTAAATGTCCAAATGATGCAGGCATAAATGTACCTGGTGTAGGTTCGATATCTAACCATTTTTTACTTAAGCCAATAAACGTCGTCAAAGGATCATCCTGAAATATAGAAGTGTAGAATGTAAAATAATGAGTAAAAATGATGATGTATCTATAAAGATTTGAATCACACTTGAATAATGAACACCTTTCACTCTGAAAAGCCGCCACTTAAGCGTCAACCACTGTTCACAAATGCAGACACGTTAGATGGTGAAAACTGAGACGGATATAAAGTTTGGTAAGCACTTCGGTTAATTTCAACCCAGAACATGAATATTAACCTCCAGTCCATTAGCGGCTCATCAAGATGCATATCCTGAGGTGCTAATGAGAAATGGTAGTCAATGGGGTCAATCAAGTCAGGATGAAGTAAAAGTCAGTCAATAGCATTGGTCAGGGGTGGGGATCACTACTACAAATTGACAGAAGCTAGAATTCATGAGTCACTGAATTCTAAACCACAATGAACGAAATATTCCCATATTGAGTTATAAGAAAAAGGCACAAACAGCGAAGAAAATTTTCTTTTCGACGATTCATTTTCATGAGCTGTACAATCGTAATTACAATTAACAGAGAAATCTTTAGACCAATCAGATACCGGTAAACTTTGTCCTTGAAAATTGTACTACATAATGTGAGGTGTAAGAAGGAATGACTAATTGTAAGTTAGAAAGGAGACAGAAGTTGGCATGTCTTAACAAGTGTGAGATAATGACTAATCAATAAGCTAGTGTAGAATGAACAGGAACTAGTGGAAAGGCCATAAAGTGTTTTTGTATAAAATCTGTATGAAAAAGTTTGTCTGACAGTAAAGGAATTAGACAAATTCCTGCGTTTCTCTGTCAAGCTTGCTGAAGTTAACACAGAGCTTAATTTTCTGAAACGATGCATCGGTAAGCATGAGTAACCGAAACATTATTGGAAGAATCTCCGTATCAATCATATTTACCCTAATTCAAAGACACTAAAACGTCACACACTGAATCACATCGACGCCATCTGCTCACGCATACCCGAACTTGAGTGAAACATTTCACAAAGAACCCATGCTTTATACGAACTATCCGATGATGAACGATAAACATTCCAGGAGTACGTATCTGGTGTCAAAAACGTTGCGATTATACTACGTCACGACTAACAAAAAGCCTGAAACCATCTGAAACTCTCGTCGTTTCCACAGAATTCGGAGAAATATGTCTTTAATTTCTCGAATTTTCCTTTGACTCCTGTCCAAATCACTTGGGCCAAAATTTTGCCATGTATCGAGTAAAACCAACGAATTACAAACTAAAATACAGTTTGAGAATTTAATGTCACAGACATCCGATTTGTCACCTACTTCCGAAAAAGATCTGGATCAATTCAAAGCTTCAATTCTTGACAGCTGTTACAAGTACATTCGTACGCAACCGAGCCGCCGTTATCTTTTGACCACGGAACACAGAAGACAACTTAAACAGCTCCAAGAAAATAAAGACATAATCCTCGTCCGTCCTGATAAGGGCAGTGGGATTTTAGTAATGAAAACATCCGATTATAATGAGAAATTGATAAACATACTATCAGACAACACCAAATTCTTCGAATCATCCAACCAGAAAGACACAACCGAAAGAACAGAAAACCTACTTACAAAATTGCTGAAGAGAATGAAAGAAGATTCAGTCATAACACCGGAGGTTTATGAGCAAATTAAACCATGTAGTTCAACTATTCCAAGACTGTATGGACTGCCTAAAGTGCATAAGGAGAATGTCCCACTTCGACCGGCCACCAAATCGCGAAGTGGCTAGCTGATATCCTCGAACTAGTTAAAAGACATATGACAAAATATAGCCTCAGATATACATTTGACTTCATCGACTCAATGAAGGATGTCAACGTGTCTGAAAGACAAATGATCTCACTACATGTCGCCTCTCTATTCACAAGTATCCCCCTAACCAAAACAATATGCTTCATTTGTAATTACATCGAAACCAACAACCTAGAAGTTCCTCTCCCTATAAACTACCTGAAGGAACTTCTTCTCAGATGTACTTTCAATACCCAGTTCAAATTCAATAGACAGTTCTATGTACAGAAAGATGGAGTAGCCATGGGGTCTCCATTTGGTCCACTACTGATCTACTGTTTCATGGCGAGTCTCGAAAACAACATCCTTGATCCCTTGAAAAGTCAACTGCACTTATACAAGAGATATGTAGATGATACGTTCATAATCTGTGATGAAAAATGTGATTTAGATTCTCTCCTTAAAACCTTCAACTCAGCGCATCCATCAATAAGATTCACCTTAGACCGCGAATCGAACAAATCATTTCCATTCGTCGATGTACTACTCACTAGAAGACAAGACTGTACGATCCAAAGATCGATATACCGCAAGCCAACATGGACTGGACAGTTTATCACCTTCCAGAACTTTGTTCCACTGATCCGTAAGAGAAATCTGGTACGTACATTGTGTTCAAGGATTCGAAAAATCTGCTCGAAAGATATGGTAGAGAAAGAATTAAATTTATTACGTGAAACCCTATTAGAGGATGGGTATCCACCGAGATTTATCGACAAAAACATGAAGGAGAAGCCTCCGGTGTCAAACATCACAACAGTTCCTAAGAAGACTCTCTTCATGAACCTAGCACTCAAAGACGATATCGCAGCGGAAATTCTCAGAAACCGCCTTTCTAAAAGTCTGAAGAAGACATTTCCAACAGCCACTCTACGTATAACATTCTCCTGCAGATAGTTAATCAAGTCTAACGCTAAGGACAAGATACCGCTTTTGGCCACTTCAATGTGTATTTGTCAATTTACTTGCTCGTGTGGAGCAAAGTATATCGGCCGTAAGCAACGTCAAGTCCAAAAACGTGTTCTGGAACACTGTCCAGCTTGGTTAGCCAGAGGAGAAAAGAAGAATAGCAACATCTCGATTCTCGAGCATCTTGTCATCTCCGGACATCGAGCACCCCCACAAGAATGTCTGTCTGTTTTCGACATAGAACTTTGCACAAATGTGCGGAAGTTCAAGTCGCCACATTCCGTGTAGCACGCGAAGCAAGAGAAGAAAGTACAAGAAAAGCATAATAGAGACCAGTGAGCAGAGGTGTGAGACAAAGGAGGGGTAATAACGAAGAACAAAACAGTTTCATTGAAGATCATAAGTCACAGGGAGTGGATGCATCTGCGCCACTGATAACGGTTTTGAGCCATGTCACCAATTGTTTCCAACCACTGAGTTTTACCGTCCCGAGGACCCCAGCCTGGAAGTCTACACGTTCCTACGTGGCTTAGACCAACTGTTGTGGATTTCATTGACTGATGCCAAGTTTTTGTTTGACCGCCGCTAGCTTTTTTCCAGCCTGACCCTATATCCGCTAACATTGCTCGTCGAGGGAGGCGATGGCTTGGCATACGTAACACATGTCCTAACCATCTCAGTCTTTGTAGCTTCACGACTTCGTCGATTGATTTCCCCTGTTTACCTAGAACTCTACGCCTAACCTCCATGTTGCTCACCTTATTATGCCACTTTACACGGGAAATAGAACGCAGGCACCTATGATCAAAGACAGCCAGTCTTTTCATGTCTTCCACTCTCAGTGGCCAGGTCTCACCGCCAGCCATAAAGGAGGACGGAGCGGACTGATGAGCAGTACACCCGCTCTTTGGTCGATAGTCGAACATCTCGTCTACGCCAGAGTCGGCGTAAACTAACAAATGCGAAACGAGCCCCTTGTATTCGTGCTGAGATTTCGTCAGAGATCAGCCCGTTGGAGCTGATGGTACTTCCCAAATAAGTGAAGCGGTCAACGTGCTCTACCACTTCACTTCCTATTTTTAAACTAGGCGTCGATGTAGTCCAGTCCTGTAACATCATCTTGCATTTGGCGGGAGCGAATCGCATGCCAAACATTCGTAGATTGCGGCTCAGTGTGTTCAGAAGACTCTGCATTTTGTCAGAGTCTTCGCCTAGATCATATCTTCACTCTTCGACAGATTCTAGAACATAGACACACCTTTCGGCGTCCAACAATTGTCATATTTCTTGACTTGAAGGCGGCCTTCGACTCCGTGGACCGAAAAGTACTATGGCAATGTCTGACTGTGAAGGGAGTGCCAAGAAAGTACATTGCACTAATCAAGGCACTCTATTCAAACTCACGTAGTCGTGTAAGGGCTTATGGGGAATTGTCATCTGAATTAGTAACAACCAGTGGTGTCCGACAGGGATGTCCACTTTCCCCATTTCTGTTTAACTTCATCATAGATATGCTAATGGAAGTATCCTTAACTGAACGTAGTGACTTAGGAATCGACTTGTTACCAGGGAATAATCTAATGGACTTAGAATATGCAGATGACATAGTCCTGTTAGGGGAGGATGCTGACAAAATGCAGAGTCTTCTGAACACCTTGAGCAGCAATCTTCGTATGTTTGGCATGCGATTCGCCCCTGCAAAATGTAAGATGCTGCTACAGGACTGGACGACGTCAACCCCTAACTTAGTGATAGGGAGTGAAGTGATAGAACATGTTGACCACTTCACCTACTTGGGAAGTTGTATTAGCACCAACGGACTGATTGGCGATGAAATCTCAGCACGGATCCGAAAAGCTCGAGCTGCTTTCGCTGACTTACACCATCTCTGGCGTAGGCGTGACATCCGGTTATCAACCAAGGGACGTGTGTACTGCTCATCAGTTCGCTCCGTCCTTCTCTATGGCTCTGAAACATGGCCAATACGCGTTGAAGACATGAAAAGGTTGACTGCTTTCGATCATAGATGTCTGCGATCTCTGTCTCACGTTAGGTGGTTTCACAAGATAAGTAATGTTGACGTTAGGCGTAGAGTGTTGGGCAAAGAGGGAAAATCAATCGACGAGGTTATAAAGTTACATAGACTAAGATGGCTAGGTCACGTGGTGCGCATGCCTAACCACCGCCTCCCCCGACGGGCATTGCTAGCTGATATAGGTTCAGGTTGGAAAAGAGCCAGTGGTGGCCAAACAAAAACATGGCATCAATCCATGAAATCCTTGACAGTTAAACTGAGTCAGGTAGGGAGATGCAGACTCCCGGGTTGGGGCCCTCGGGACTCTAGGAATCAATGGCTGGAGACAATAGGTGACATGGCTCAAAATCGTTGTCAATGGCGCAGATGTATTCAGTCTCTGTAATCTTTCATATTCCTTTCTACCATTACCCATTCTGTTTCACTCTTATACTTGTCAAACTCTATTAATTCTCTTCACTCATCTTCTTGTCTACCTCTGTGTGCTATTTGGAACGTGGCAACTCGAACTGCTGCACTTCGGTGCCAAGTTCTATGTTGAATCCAGACAGAGTCTTCGCCTAGAAGGACTATATCGTCTGCATATTCCAAGTCAACGAGATTATTACCCGGTAGCAAGTCAATTCCTGAGTCACTGAAGTCACTTAGGGTTAAGTCCATTAACACATCTATGATAAAGTTGAATAGAAAAGGAGATAATGGGCATCCTTGACGGACACCACTGGTCGTCATCAGTTCAGATGACAGCTCGCCGTAAGCCCTCACCTGGCTGTATGAGTACGAGTAGAGTGCCTTAATCAGTGCAATATATTTTCTCGGAATTCCCTTTACAGCCAAGCATCTCCAGAGAACTTCTCGATCGACAGAGTCGAAAGCTGCCTTTAGGTCAAGAAACATAATGATTGTTGGACGCCGGTAGGAATGCCTATGTTCTAGAATCTGTCGGAGGGTGAAGAATGCTTCACAGTGTTACATAGTCCCTCAATATCGTAAAAAGGGACTTCGGATACGCCATCTGTACATAGCTGAAGCATTAGCTATTCGAGATCTGAAACCGGACCTGTGCATACAAAAGTGATACACACATTCTCTTGCCCAACCATGGCCAGAGTAAAGTTCTTACTACAATTTTGCTTCTTTCCCTTAATAAGTAAGTTCACTATTATTATTACTTTTATTATCATTATTATTCCTATCATTCACATTTTATTACCACTCTATTACTGTTTATTAATAACATTGTTTTTTTTCATACAGATTTTATACAAAAACACTTTATGGCCTTTCCACTAGTTCCTGTTCATTCTACACTAGCTTATTGATTAGTCATTATCTCACACTTGTTAAGACATGCCAACTTCTGTCTCCTTTCTAACTTACAATTAGTCATTCCTTCTTACACCTCACATTATGTAGTACAATTTTCAAGGACAAAGTTTACCGGTATCTGATTGGTCTAAAGATTTCTCTGTTAATTGTAATTACGATTGTACAGCTCATGAAAATGAATCGTCGAAAAGAAAATTTTCTTCGCTGTTTGTGACTTTTTCTAAACCGCAAAATGAACAGTCAGTGTGACTTGCAGTCCTTGTGGTATAGTCTCCGATGGGGGTCTGAAGGTACGCACTGATGAAGAGTTTGCAACCAGGACGAAACAGGTGTCCAGTGTTCACCTTTTGTTTACACTGATTTCCCAACCAACTGATGTCTGTTCATGACAAAATCCATACTGAAAGTGAAGTAAATTATGGAATGAATATTAGTTGACTGAGATTAGTTAGAGAATTGTTGAAAATGATGGAGGAACGTTGTTTATGAAGTTAATGGAGGAACCATTTGTAACACGTTGAATAACAATACACATATGGACTTATGAACGGTAATAACACAGTGACATATTGAGTCACCTTGTAGAGGGTTTAACTGACCTGTGGTTTTCTCCTCTCAGTATTGATAACAAAGTCAGCTTCTATTCAACAAGACATTTGACACCCACAATTTCACCAACTTTAAAGAAAATAACTTAGGCTTCTGGTTACTGAACCTTGAATCTTTGTATTAGAAGGTGATGATTCGAGGTTTGGTCCTTTGTACGGTTTAAATACCCACCCATGAAACAATTCAGTGATCTTCTATAGAATTCTCCCAACTTAGAGTTTGGCGACCTTTCCGTCGAAAAAAATTAGTCGGAGATTTAAGTTGCGCTTCATCAAATTTGGCATTAGTAGTATCACAGTCTGTCTTCTCCCACTAGGCACTTATATATGTGCTTCGGTGGTTCAGGGTTAGGATACTCACCAACCACGGAGGTGGTCCGGGATTCAACTCCCAACCGATGCACTCCTAAACCCCATTTAGTTTAGCAACCAGCAATAAGTTCAAATGAGATGTATGGTCCAGCATGAGGCTAACCAACACACCACACCGTAAAAACAACACGGACACTGCCGGAACTTCAAGTCTCCAGCTCTATGTTCCACGTGGAAATAGAAGAATGAATATACATATTTATATATGATTGCTTACTTTCCATTTTGTAGTATGAATAGCTTGATCAAATGATGCAAGTAGAATTTGTCTAGAATAAAAGAGGCCAGCATTAGCTATACGTGAATTAATTAAATTGGTCAACAGATCTTTAGGCATTGGATCACCATCAGTCCCGAGTAATGCTTTCAAGCCATCAGCATTCCATACCCAATTTTCTAACATTTGTGATGGACATTCAACAAAATCAGTTTCCACTGATGTCCCACTAGAATAGAAAGCAAGACAGACAGAGAGAAAGAGAACTTCATTAGTTTCGTATTAAGAGAATTATGGACACATCAACAAAACAGCCAAAAATTATAAGAATATTATGTTGCCTTTCGTGAAGGAAATGGTGCTATAACGGAAGAATCGGTACCTAACGATGCTATATGCAATGTAGGGCTTGTTCGTAGCAGATTGTGGTGTGCGCTACTTACAAGGTTTATCAGTAGTGTATAGCGAGACGTTCACCTAAACAGCAACAACAACAGACAACAATCGACATAAATGGGAGGAACCTGAAAGAAACAACCTCCTTCACCTACCTGGGAAGCATCGTTTCAACTACAGGCGGAACTGACGAGGATATCGAAGCAAGAATCGGAAAAGTAAGACAAGCTTTCATTACTCACGTCAAGTCTGTGTGGAGATCAACAGCACTCAGCATGAAAATGAGAATAGGATCCGGATTTTCAACTCTAATGTGAAGTCAGTGCTACTGTATGGATCAGAGACTTGGCCAGCGCGTCATAAAGAGCATCTCAAACAAACCAGACATTCATTAACATTTGTCTTCGCTCAATACCACTGAAGATCAGATGGCCAGAAAAGATCAGCAACAGGGATCTCTGGCAATGAGCAAACCAACTAGGAACCGATTGTAAAACAAATACGCAGGAAGAAATGGAGATGGATTAGCCATACTCTGAGGAAACCATCAAGTGACATCACTCGACAGGCCATCGCTCGAGTGGAACCCGAAAGGGAAGCGGCGCGTTGTTTGTCAGTACGAGGGTGGGGTGACTTGGAGGAGGTCATGTGAAGAGGAGATGAAAGTATGTGGGCAGACTTGAAGCGGGGTGAAAAAGTTGGCAGAAAACCGAAGGCAATGGAGACGCACAGCTGAAGCCCTATGTTCCTCTAGGAATTAAAGGATATAATGATAATAATAATCACCTAAACACAAAAACATCAAATGACGGAGAGATGGATTTGATGCCAAAAAATGGAAATGAACTACTATTACGGTGAAAAATGGGAGGCACGAAAAGAAGACAAAGAAACACAGTGCGAAGGGTAGGAGTAGTACAGCACAGAAGATCTGTGCAAATGACCGATTTCACATATATGGAGAACTCATAATTTCCCTATATGTGTACATCAAATTGCAAATAAACATTCCATCACCAAGCCTGTTGTCTTCTCTCATTGTAGACATTACCAGAACCTAAGCTGAATCAGTCGAAGATATTGATTTTGTATAATACTCTTTCACTATATGACATCATATAGAGCGAGGTGTATCATGAACACTGTCAATAGACCACCAGCATGCAGAATGAAAGTCCTAGAATGACCCACATCACATAATTGAATATGTGAGCTATAAAATGAAGTTAACAGCTGTCTCAGAGGTGTAAGTTACTAATCAATATTTTTAATCAATATTAAAATCTGTAGTGCACATCACAGGCACTAATTTCATCCAAAGTACTTTAGCCTAGTCAACATTATTATTATTACTCGTTTTTTTGTGTTTAGGGTAGAGTATAGGGGCTTAACGGAACATCTTCACGCCTAACTACAAAATTTCATTTCCACATCACAAAATTGTCTCCATGGTGCTGTCGGACACCAAATTCATCTTTTTCCATTCCGATTCCACTCCATACATTCTAGCGTCAGATTTCACTTGAAGGTATTCTGACCACAAGTCCAATCTATTTCCATTTCCTACTGCATAAGTTTCAGACAACAGGCTCTTGAGTGTTTCGCTGACTGTCAGAGTTTCTTGTTCTTTATCCTTTCCGGCTGATCAGACATCTGATAAAGACAGATGTGTTAATAAAAGTCTGCAAAGGCTGTTGGAAATGCTTTTGATGACACAGGAGCAAATTTTGCAATACATATGGAAGCATCGAATTAAGTGTTGAAAGTCCTACCTTTGTTCCTTACACTGAGTGTTAAAGATGTTTAACATTACTTACAGAATGGTGAACGCCTATCTTGCCTTCTCGAGCTAATCTTGGCTTCGACATCCTCATCTACGTCGCAAGTAGTTGAAATGATGCTTCCCAGATGATGGTGTATGTTTTTGGTCGAATATCTCTATAACTTCTATTTATCTCTCTGTGGAGCTAAAGTCCCGTTTCCACTACCTTTTCTGTCAACTGGTTGATTTTCGTTAGAATCTTCAAATTTGTGGGGGACACGACACACAAGCAATCTGCGAAATCCAGATTGTCTAAGGTCTTTTTGTCCGTCCATCATAGGCCTCTCCTTGACTCTCCACTGTCTGCCCCGCATGATACAGTGTCCATCACAATCAGAAAAATCATCGGTGACATCAGAGAGAGCCTTGTGTTACTCCTAGCTTTACTTCACTATACTACCGAAAGTACTACGAGACTTGCTATACAGTGAGTGTATAAACCTTTTGTCCTCCTTATGGGGGTTTCTTGTCAGATTCCAAATTAATTCACTTGAGGATATTTATTTTAGAAAATGAAAATAAATGGTTCGGCGAATAATTTTAGAATCCCTCCTGACCACTCTAGTATTGATATTTATTGGAATATTTCTGCTGATTTCCTTAGCGTTTATTCTGTATACCCAAAACTGTCAATCATCATCTTGAAATCTACCCATCTTAGTTTGACGTAATCATTATTACTTGCTTTATCCTTAATGTTCGACTTTGCTTATATGAGATACGAAACTATTCACAATCAAGTATTACACTATTATCGATATCGGTTACGCCATGGGTTGACTCTTTGATGAGAACGTTTAGTACTCCGTTTGATATTCTTGTAGACACAATTTTGATAACGTTTTGCTAGGAATATTCGTTGCTAAATTTTCAGGTATTTGACAGTTGTGTTTTTTCGATTGCATAGAGGATTTCATCATGAGCTGACATTGGTTAGGGAACCATTGAAAAACCTGGGAGTACTGGACAGCTGTTTCCTTCGTCCTAGTTTTGGAATCATCGGAAGTACGCACCCACACCCAGGGGTTCGAGCCCAGGAACTTCTGGGTTACAAGGCGAGCTAACTCATAGACCATTCAGCCACTGGGACCCGATCCAATGGTTCTCGAATTCTAACTTCACGAAATAGCGCGACCATTTCACAATGTCTTCTTTGATGAGTTACTGCCTCATCTTCGACCTGCTGTACCCTACTGGTCACGGCTTCCGTACAAAACAAATACTAGAAAAAGTTGTGTTTTGTGCTTTATACTGTTGTAGAGCATGTAACATATTCCGTTGAAATTAGTCAACATTGCTGATATGAAAAAGAGTAGTTGCAATCATTATTCTGTTTGTAAGTAAATTGACATTTCCCAATGATTGATAATGTTGGGTCGAAATGTTGCGGCTTTGTTCATATGTCAGCTTTCTAGTATGGAGGCTTCAAAGATGTCTAAGGATAATGGATTTGATTTTGGTTGATGATAATGACTACCAGTAGAACCTAAGGTCTGTGCATTTCATCCTTTTTCAGAGTCCTCATCTCGATGACAAGTCAACAGAGACCGGGAATTTCATTCCAACACAATCAATCAACTGAAAATGGAAGTTAACCTATAAAACTAAACATAATAGTCGAAACTAGTTGCACAAAAAGTTGTTCTTCTGGTCCTTCTTCGAAAATTCTTTGGCATCTGAAGTCATAGGTGCAGGTTTTCGATTTGAGTGTCAACCGCATCATTCGCTGAGAATACAGGTGCATCTAGTTATTCACGAACCTCCGAATAGGACCAGAAAAGTCTACTAGATAACTGCTCATTTCAGATCACGCATGAATTCAATACAACAATCAAGTGTCTAAAAATCTTCAAATAAACAAATAGTGAATATCCAGATGACCTTTCTTTTCAATAAAATAATTATCGCTATAAAAGATTTACCTAAACAAAGCAGTTTCTGTATACGAACATATATGATGCATAAGATGGCCAAATTCATGAAAGAATGTCTCTACTTCATCATGCAGGAGATAGCCTTCACCAGTTTTTTTGTCAGGTGCTGTGAAATTAGCCACCATTGCAGCTATAGCAACTTGACGTTCAAATGGCAACTGACCACCACCTTCACCTTCAGCAGTACTATTTGGTGAGTCGACTGGTCTACAACAACCCGGTTGTAAATCGAAGACAGCTGCATGCCCGTATTTACCTTCACGTGGATGTAAGTCAAGGTAAAAGTAACCTAAGAGATTGTCTGTTTCAGAATCCTTTACTGAATACTATAATAAAGGTAGGTAAAACAAAAATAAAGACTATGCAATACATAACTGTAATATGTGAATCAATATAAACATTAATTAATTTAAAGCAAGTATCTAGAAGCCTCCAAAGCCTCAGGATGGTCGGGGGTGGGTGTCTTGCGCTGCGGGTTGGCCACCCCTCCGTACACCTCTTGAAATGCTCCCATATGACCGGGCGTCTTACATAGCCTCTCCTGAGGAAGTCCTACTCACTGCCTTCACGTGGCGGAGGTGTTCTTCACCAAAGTGAGAGGGCAAAAGCGGATGCCCGGCGCTCTTCACCGGGTTGACTGTCCATTGGATGACAGTCTAGGGGAGATGGCTAAACCCTGATTCCAAACCTCCAACGACTGGCGTATGAAGCTCACCGGCAGACGTATGGACAAAGGGCTTATTGGATGCCCTGGATGACTGGCCCCATTCAAAAAGGCGAATGAACCGGACTCCGGTCACCGGCTGCCAATGGATAGTGGACTCCCTACTCCACTCCTACTGCCTTGTAGGTCACACTTGGTTGTGTAAAGGCTAGAGCTGCACTCTCAAACAAAAGGCCGAGCGATGCTGGGGACATCACTCGTATCCAATTCCCATGAAACTTCATGGTTCATGAAGCCGGCTCATCCTCCCGTAGGAGATAGCCGAAGTAAAGTAAAGTAAAGTAAGTAAGTATCTAGAACAGGTGATCTGTTTTACAATAAAATGGTACTCAGAACTCATTTACTAGGCGCAGATATTTCACATAGACCAGGTCATATTGTGGTGTGGTGTGACGCAAGCAATGTATTTCAACGGAATATTATTCTCACATATTCTCACAGTTCAATACTGCATTGGCAACATGATACGGTATATCTATTTGGACATTCTGCTTGTTGCTAGAGTCAGAATATTATTCCCACAGTTTAATACTACATTAGGAACAGAATAATGTATGTATTTCATGTCGTTTAATGTAAACCAAAATCACATGCTCAGTGATTGGTTAAAGAATATAAACTGTAAAGATATAAACAGCGGTTTGATCAATGAAAAATATATCTTTGCTTTCGTGTCTTGTCTTCTGCTGTTAAAATATCATTATTTTTATTTATTATTTCATTACTTTGTGTTCCACATAGAACAAAGGGCTTCAAGTTTTGAGACTTCAACTTCCAGTAGCAGTCGCGTTGTTCTTTTTAACAGAGTGGGATTGCTAGCCTCACACATGACCTTCCCTGTTACCGGTCATACTACACTCTAAGCGAGGGATAGGAGTGAGTCAGCCAGTGACCTAACCTCAAACACATATATGGCTGGCGAATATACTACCACTGAACCACCGATGGGCCTATCAGGCTGAACTAAACCTTTTGTGTACTGAATAATACATTTACCAAGTTGCCCAAGTTGAGTTAGGTGGGGTAGGATTCGACCGCGACCGGCTGAAAGTCAAGAGTTCAAGCTGAAAAGCTATACCTTCTCATAAATTAGTGAAACCTTGAAGATAGCTCTGGTTAACTCTGAAATAGATACTACAAATGATGGCTCATAAATCATTTTACAGATCAGTAAACGATTGTTTGATTTTTTTCCATTGCTCTGTGTTCCAAGTGGAATGTTGGGTTTCAAGTTGTGAGGTTGCTAGACTCACGTCTAGCTTCGCCTCTCTCCCTGACTAATTACCAGCTAGCTAACTAGACGGAATATAGTAGTGTTTCAGCTGGAAATAGTAACCAGACCATCTGTGTGTCTAGCGAGCATTTCACAGTTGAACTACTGACGCATCAGTTGTTGAATTACACCAGTTTAATGAGACAAAGGACACAAGAACATTTTTATTTACCTATAATTTAATTCCGAACTGAAAAGATATATAAATAGAACAAACCACGTATAAAAAGCCTACGGAGAAGGAACAGTTTCTCAGTTTTCAAAGTTCAGTCTTAATCTACCAGTCAGAGAAATTTGATTCATTCACTTTCCTGAAAAACCAGAAGCTCTCCATATGTAACTCGGGTGCGGCCAAATGGTGGGTAGACTCCGGTTGAAATACTCTCATGTAGCCATAAGTTCACAGTGTATTCACGCGGCGGGGGGGGCAGTGGTGGTTTTACCAAATAGGAAGGGTGGAAGAATGTTTTGCATTTATTACTGGATTAATGGATATGAAAATTCACCTAAGAGAGTTGGAAGATAATGATTCCAAAAATGTCATGCACATGGGCTCTAGAACTAAAAGGGACGATTGGTATAAGATCTGCCTGATACCACGTATAACAATCAAGGAATCTAGCGAAATTATATGCCTGATGTACGCAGTTGGAAATCACTCACGTCAACTGTCTGTCTGTCTGTCTGTTTCCGACATAGAACTTTGCACAAATGTGCGGAAGTTCAAGTCGCCACATTCCGTGTAGCACGCGAAGCAAGAGAAGAAAGTACAAGAAAAGCATAATAGAAACAGTGAGCAGAGGTGTGAGACAAAGGAGTAATAAAGAAATACAAAACAGTTTCATTGAAGATCATAAGTCACAGGGAGTGGATGCATCTGCGCCACTGAGAACCATTCTGAGCCATGTCACCAATTGTTTCCAACCATAGATTTTTACCGTCCCGAAGACCCCAACCAGTCAGGAAGTCTACACCTTCCTACGTGGCTTAGACCAACTGTTGTGGATTTCATTGACTGGTGCCAAGTTTTTGTTTGACCGCCGCTAGCTTTTTTCCAGCCTGACCCTATATCCGCTAACATTGCTCGTCGAGGGAGGCGATGGCTTGGCATACGTAACACATGTCCTAACCATCTCAGTCTTTGTAGCTTCACGACTTCGTCGATTGATTTCCCCTGTTTACCTAAAACTCTACGCCTAACCTCCATGTTGCTCACCTTATTATGCCACTTTACACAGGAAATAGAGCGCAGGCACCTATGATCAAAGACAGCTAGTCTTTTCATGTCTTCCACTCTGAGTGGCCAGGTCTCACAACCATAAAGGAGGACGGAGCGGACTGATGAGCAGTACACCCGCTCTTTGGTCGATAGTCGAACATCTCGTCTACGCCAGAGTCGGCGTCAACACCAGTGAGTAATGCTTCTTGAGGGGAATTTGCACCACGAACTATTACCCATTCGGTTGGAAATCGAGTGTCCAGGTAAATAAGGCACATTTCCACAAAGCGTTTCCATTATGCCATACAACCAAGTACTGGACGGCTGGTTCTTCCTATTCTGGGGATCTTCAGTGGTACGCACATATGACCCCACCACTAGGGACAGAACCCAAAACCTTCAGGATACAAGACAACTTCGTTGGTCAGTTAGCTACTGGGGCGAAATCAAATAGCCAGTCCATGAATGCTAACTTTTAACATTTAGCAATATATATAGAGCAACCACCAACGAATTTTATCGACAAGTAATTGCCCTCACACCCAAGTTGGTGGACCTCGCTGATTATAACTTGTCACTAGAACTTCAGGCAAGGGTTGGCTTGCAGGATGAAACTACTATCTAGTAAGTATCCTCTGCTGACTTTAAATGGTTCTCTAAATGATATCGTCAGTTCATAATCGATCATAAAATCAATCAAATCTCTGCAAAATCAACACTTGTAAATAATTACCTTTATAGCATAACATGTACGTCGGTGGCACAGAGGTAGAATGCTCGCCAACCACTCAGGTGGTTTAGGGTTCTACCCCTGGCCAATGCACTCTTTCACGTCGCTAAGCTTGTAATAAGACTGGTAAAGAGGGGAGGTTGGTGGTCATGAGGCTAGTAACTCCATCCCGTAAAAATAAACTTCAAAGCTCCGGCTTGAAGCCTTATGTTCCACTGGAAACGTACAGGAATAAAATAATAAATAAATAACATAACACGACACAATAATAATAATAACATTCGAGAAGGGGAAACAAAATGCAACTCACCATTTCTACTTCTTCGTGCCATACTTCAGGATTGTTAACACGTTCAAATTTCAGGCCTAATAAATGTTGATAGAGGCGTAGGATGCCAGACTTTATTGTTGTCAAGGGAAAATATTTCTTTAAGACTTCTACATCAACTGAATAATCTTTTTCTTTAACCATATTCATATAATAACGCGTATCCCATGGATCAATACGATTATTAAATGGATAGCCTAAACGTTCACACTGGAAAAAGATAAAGAATAAGAATAAAAATGTACACATTAATCAAATATTCAGCAACCTCCGAAAATTCTTTCCATCAGCACACTTGAAAAAGCAAGAACGGTAAATTTACCAGAACATAAGCTCATTTTTGTTGGGTTGCAAAATACCAACTAGTGGAGATCGAACCAAAACATGGCATTATTCCATGAAATCTTTGACAGTTAGTTTGAGTCAGCCAAAGTAGGAAGGTGCAGGCCACCTGATTAGGATCCTCGGGATGCTAAGAACCAATGGCCACTGGAGGAAATTGGTGATATGGCTCAAAAGAGTTCTCAAAGGCGCAGATGCATTCACTCCTATATATCCATTAAACCCTAGTCTTTCCATGTTACTATTCTTTCTCCGTCATAGTTCTGCGTATCATCCTTCTTTTCTCTCATTTGTCTTTCTTTGTGTGTTACATGGAGTGTGGCAACTCAAACTGCTTCTGTCTGGATTCAACATAGAACTTGGCACCGAAGTGCAGCAGTTCGACTTACCACGTTCCAAATAGCACACAAAGGTAGACAAGAAGATGGGTGAAGAGAATCAATAGAGTTTGACAAGCATAAGAGTGAAACTGATTGGGTAATGGTAGAAAGGAATATGAAAGATTACAGAGAGTGAATACATCTGCGCCATTGACAACGATTTTGAGCCATGTAACCTGTTGTCTCCAGCCATTGATTCCTAGAGTCCTGAGGGCCCCAACCCGGGAGTCTGCATCAAACTGTTTCACTCATGTGCAACGTTCTGTGTTGAAACTCTGTTAGTCAGGATTCCTCTCAATCGACCACAACGTCAAATTAATAAGACTTAAAATGATCGTTTGCTTATTGGGTAATTAGACGAATACTCTTGTGAAAAATACAGATTTTAAAACTTTCAAGTGGAATTAAAGTCTAGTTAGAAGGAGGAGACATCAATACAACGAGTTCCGTAACTACACCAAATATGTTTTTATAAAGTAGTAAAGTAGGGGTAAGGTGAGTGATGTTCACATGAAATAATAAAAGTGCCTAAACATAACTGAATTGACGGTTTGGAATACGCAAACATACAATTTGGAACTTAGAAAACAGAATAACTTCTCTAATTAGATGACTGTGGTCAAAACTAATGTGAGAAGAGAATTTGGGAACTGTGTTGTAGAATACAATTCTAGGTCATCTCGTCGATACTGGACATCAAGTCGACTCTAACATAACTTTTACAATCGTTTGTCATGTATCACCCAACCTCCTACATGGCCTTTCGAGTACAACTTTTACATACAGCAGAGGCAATCGCAGTTCATCCGAACAAGCCAAATCTGTGTTCAAAAGAGATTTTGGAAAGCCCTTTTCGTTGCCATGACCAACTACATAATATGTATTAGGTTTCTTAGAAAAAAACCGATTTTCCCCTCCACTTGTAACTATCTTTTGACTTTGTTAATTATTAGAATTTTACGATTTAAGCTTATTCTATTAACTTGTTTGTATTTTAGTAATTTTTCTGAGTCACCATTATTTTACAAACTTCTTGATTATGTAATAACTTGTTACCAACGCCTAAGAATCAGCTTGAATTGAATCAATCTTGAATTCCGTAATTGATTTCCAATCCTCATTTAAAACTTAGATATCTAGTTACTAACATCCATTAGTTAAATGTTTTGATGACCTTTAATCTCTTAAATTCACCCCACCCCCCTAGATAGCTAAAACTGATTAACTAAAATAACCACTTGATTGATTGGTAGAAAATTTCGACGTAAGAAACTACATATTAGTGTAGAGCCAGCCGATGATGAGGAACTCATTTAAAGGCAATATATCTCCTCGCTCAATCTGTTTTTATTTGTAAATGCGTAAATGGGAATTTGGAAATTCCATACGACATAGATTTATATGGTTTAACACAACAAAGGGGGGCGACACAGTGTATTAATACATGAATGATATTTTGAGCCCAATTTTATTGCTCATAATCATATTTCTGTTCATCATAGTTGTTTTAAATCTCTCTTTCCTTTACCGCTGTGTGGTACACGAATTCTTATGACTTGAGCTGTTGTAGTTCTGTGCATAGGTGTACGCTGGAACTCATTCGGTCGTAGAATTACAAATAATTTCCATAACTTTAATTGGTGGATGGTGACTAGCAGTGGAATCCAGGATTCGCATTTCGTCCTATTTGGGACTCGTCATCTGAAAGTCGACATGTCAACCTGAGACCGAGCACTTCGGTCCAATCAATCGACGGGAAAATCTAAAACTAAATTTCCATAACTTCCTAAGGAATTACTCATCACAACGTTCTCAGTTAGTCAGGGTTTTTTAGTAGACTTGTATGGTAGTGCATTTCACAAAATCATAAACGTACTAGTCAAGATCATCTTTTCTTCTCATAGAATACAAAAAAAAATATTCTTTCAGTGGTAATTGTCAGATGTGACACTCACTGATATGAAAAGTCAACATATGGAAGCGTACAGATAACAAAAGAGCAGAGAAAAGCAACAAACTAACTCACCTCTTCTTTCTTTAACTCCAACATACGTTGTCTTTCTTTCTGTCTTGCGTTCTCCAACTTTGAACCAACATTATTTAGAAATTTGTCCACATTAGCTGCTGTTTTAGCCATACGTAAGTCAAGCATAAAATCTGAATGTGTAGGAAAGCCTAAGATTGTTGCACGCTGTAGTAGTAGTAGTAGTAGTAATGGAAAAGTAAGGATTAAGAAACAATAGAAACAATTAGAATGATTTATGAATTAAGTAGTAGGGGAAGGCTTTAATATTAAAGCTGGCACGGAAAACGTTTTTTTTTAATTATAGCTTGAAACCACACAGTATTTTTCGTACAAATATGGAATTTTCACCATGTGATATCCGTAGCCCAAATGTAGCAGGCCGACCATTGATATCAGGTGTGCGTCGGCCGGGGTTCGAACCCCGGACCATGTGAATGGTCGGCAAGCGTTCTAGCCGCTGTGCCACCACCGACGCACAGGAAGACAAGCTTCACGATTAAATCATTTAGGCTGGAGAACAAGTCACGTGGGTTGTATGAAGGCTGGTGATAACATATGGCCATCCAAGTCTTGACGGGCGTGTGGAGGGAGAAGTGGTAGAGCACATTGACCGCTTCACTTATTTGGGAACTACCATCAGCCAGTGCCAACGGGTTGGGCTCTGACGAAATCTCAGTACGAATACAAGGGGCTCGTTCCGCATTTGTTAGTTTACGCCGACTCTGGCGTAGACGAGATGTTCGACTATCGACCAAAGAGCGGGTGTACTGCTCATCAGTCCGCTCCGTCCTCCTTTATGGTTGTGAGACCTGGCCACTCAGAGTGGAAGACATGAAAAGACTAGCTGTCTTTGATCATAGGTGCCTGCGCTCTATTTCCTGTGTAAAGTGGCATAATAAGGTGAGCAACATGGAGGTTAGGCGTAGAGTTTTAGGTAAACAGGGGAAATCAATCGACGAAGTCGTGAAGCTACAAAGACTGAGATGGTTAGGACATGTGTTACGTATGCCAAGCCATCGCCTCCCTCGACGAGCAATGTTAGCGGATATAGGGTCAGGCTGGAAAAAAGCTAGCGGCGGTCAAACAAAAACTTGGCACCAGTCAATGAAATCCACAACAGTTGGTCTAAGCCACGTAGGAAGGTGTAGACTTCCTGACTGGTTGGGGTCTTCGGGACGGTAAAAATCTATGGTTGGAAACAATTGGTGACATGGCTCAGAATAGTTCTCAGTGGCGCAGATGCATCCACTCCTTGTGACTTATGACCTCCAATGAAACTGTTTTGTTCTTCATTATTACCCCTCCTTTGTCTCACACCTCTGCTCACTGGTCTCTATTATGCTTTTCTTGTACTTTCTTCTCTTGCTTCGCGTGCTACATGGAGTGTGGCGGCTTGAACTTCCGCACATTTGTGCAAAGTTCTATGTCGAAAACAGACAGACAGACAGAGAGTGGAGGGAGATTCAATCCCCTGACCCAGTTGGTTAAAAGTTGGGCGCTTGAACCAGTGAGCCACAGTGCTACACTTAAGCAATATCAGAATATACAACAACACCAAAATAAAGAGTAATACTACACATATCAATTAGCATCGACTTCACTATTAGGTGAACAACAAGTCATCAGGGTAAAACCATTGTGTCCAACATACTCAAAATCTAACTAACATTACTACATTGTATCCATTTTTTTCAAGAGAAATTAATTGAGAAAAAAATGTCACCAGACAACCAAACTCTAAACAAAACGAAATATAATTAACACAATATACATATATAAGTTTGAATTAAATTTCTTTCTGTGAATCGTTCGTTGATTCAAAACACTCTCACACCCTCAATCAGTGCTAATTATATCTGAAAGTCTGGTATCACAAAATATGCATGAGTACTTACTTATATTGGTCATAAAGTAAACCCATAGAATCAAAGGGGATTGTTACAATTTATAAATTGCCAAGTGTTGGTTTGCAGGGATTTGATTGATCTAGATTACGTAGTGATACATCAATTACAGAATCACTATGAAGACATAGGTTACTGGACTCGACAGATGTTTAACCCTAGTTTGAGTTTTTCCAACACTACACACAGTCATGACTCCAGAGAGAGGATCGATCCCAGAACGCTCAGGTTACGAGAAGAGTTCATCGACTATTAATAGCCACTTCTTCTATCACACCACCTTATCGTCTTGCTTAAAACTAATTATCATTTATTCCCTAACCAGCAGACTGGTAGGTAATATATATCATAATGTATAAATTAATCTTTTCAAGTGTTATTTTGTAAATATTTGATTGATTTCTAGTTTGGCCATAGACTGACTTATATTAGAGAACAACTGAAAACCAGCGGGTATCAGAGTTATTTTGTCCGTATTTGGGACCCTTCAGTGATACGCAACTATGACCTCACCACCACCACCACCACCACCAGGGATTGAACTAAAAATCTTCAGGTTATGTAAGGCCACCTCGTCGAGCACTCCACCAGTCAATGAGATGGGATCTAATGGCTCATGGATTCGAACTCCAGTCAATTCAAGATGTATAGCGCCATCGATAACCAATGTCATCATCAGTGAGTACTTATTCTCGCATTTGACCTAGTGAATTTCTACGAGTTGATCACGAATTGATATCAGTCAGAGAACCATTGAAAACCAAGGAGTACTGGACAGCTGCTGTTTCATCCTAGTTTGGGAATCATCGGAAGTACGCACCCACACCATGGTTCGAACCCAGGACCTTCCGGTTACAAGGCAAGCTCGTATACTATTCAGCCACCGGGACCCGATTTAATGGCTCATGAATTCCAACTTCCACCAATCCGTGATTTAGCGCGACCCCAACCACTTTGCACTATTCTACAAATCTGCAGCAATGCGAACCCATCCCCCTTAACCTACAGCATTTTACCATGCAGCTATTGGACGGAAAAAGTTTTATAGTGCCCTAAGTGCAAAATGTCGATGAGTCCTGAACTGTTATAAAAATGTTTAACCAATGGTCTTTTTAGTCTCCGTTGGATCTTAACCGATTACTGTTAACTGTTCACTTGTGAAAATAAATTAGACTTACTTCATTACGTAGTTCCATCAAACGTTTTAAAATCGGCGTATTCTCCTTAATGCACCTAAAGCAGTTAAAAGAGAAGAATTAAAGAAAATGGCAATGAAAGCTATATGGTAGTGAAATTTCTTTTGTTGTCTTCGCTGGACTCAACTGTAATCTAATGACTTTTTACTAACACACCAGATACAGACTTTTTAAAGTTAATTTAACGCCAAGGAGTAGAAATTATAGATTGGATTAAGCAGTAGTGTATTTACGAGCAATGTCGTCTAGTTTACCAGCCAATACTCAACCCGGCAAAGTGATAATGTTGGGTATAGAATCAGCAACTCCACCCCGCAGAAAGTAACCTACCCTACCCCTGAGGAGACTTCCAAGTACATAAACTAAGACCTATTCCTCATTGAAGTTGGAAGACTCTTCCACTCAAGGACGGGTGATGCTAGTTGACGAAAGCCCTCTGGCAGAAAGCCGACCAATGTATCTTCCTTGAACAACAACAAAGGTAATCATAGGAACATTAAATGTCAGTGTCACATTCGAGGCTGCTTGGATTGGAGAAGTCGAGAGGTAGTTGGTGAAATTAGTAGAAACGGAGAGCTCTCGGTAGACTTCTGCACGTTTAATGATTCGGTAACTGTAGGTAGTGTGCACAACACAAGGATACACAAAAGACGATGTGGGTTTCACCAGATGGATACATCATCCTGGAAATATAACAAGATGTCATGGATGTAAAACTCCTCTGGGAAAAGATTGGATGCAGGAGAAGCAAATCATGTGCATAACAAAGTGCAATACTGTGCATCATCATCGACTCTACAATAGCAGTAAACCCTGTACCTAAACTTCATTGGCTTTGAAGGAGCTTTCGACAGCACCGACCATGAGGTAATTTAGTGACTGTTCCAATTATTTATTTATTTATTTTTTATTTTTGATTACAGCTTGATTCCACAGCGTATTTTTGGTACAAGTATGGAATTTTCAGCGTGGATATCGGCGGCCCAAATTTCGCAGGCCGACCATAGATATCAGGTGTGCGTCGGTAGGGGATCGAACCTCGGACCATGTGCATGGTCGGCGAGAGTCCTAACCACTGTGCCACCGACGCACAATACTACGGAGTGCAGGGCAGCAAATATTTATGTACCGAAATACGCCATGTGATTCACAACCGAAAGCCCTGGGAAGCATTCGAAATAAAGATAGGGGTAAGACAAGTCTGCCTACTATCACAGACGATTCCTGTTGCAGAATGTCATCAACAGTTGCCTTTGCTCAATAAGGGGTTCGGATAGCTGGTCGGAAAAGCATCGATTCAGTGAAGAAAGTATTGACCAACATATTTGTCGAAGGAGAATGATGCTCGGGGAGGCTTCGTGTGCCCTTAAAAGTGTGTGGGCGGTTGTTACTTCCCGGCTGCCGACGCCGTGGAAGTTGATTGATTTTTCGAATGCCTGAAACAGAAAGAGGGCTAGTGTTGTGTGACCGCAGAGCCCAGGGGACAACTGCTTGAGGCCAGTCACACACGGCCAGTATAAACTGGTTTCTTGGTTTGGTTCCGTATTAGTAAACTTACTGCCGGTTACGGACCATCGTAAGGTAGGTTGGGGGATACAATTGTTGGGGTTGACCTATTCTAACCACTTCTCTCTAGAGCGGAGAGATAGCACAGATGGCATGCTGTTCATCTGAGGAAAACACTTCACTTCTGTTACATCCCTCTTCTCCAGTAATATGACTTCGCCCTCAAACCCCAGCATAGGATTAAAAAATTCTTACACTAAGCCGGTAACTGCTTTTAGTCTAATCGCTATCCTAACAATCTTCCTGGCATGGTAGGACCTGCAGGAACAATAGTTCTAGCCAGTGTAGCTTGTTGCGTCATTGCGATATGCAAACCCGACCACCACGTCAAGGTAGCAGTTATCGGTAGGGTATGTCGAAGTAAATGGAGATGGATTAAACTTACGCCAAGGAGACCTTCAAGTGACATCATACGCCTGAACCGGAATTGGACCATAAGGGGAAGTGACAAGTTGGTTCATTGTTCAATCATTGAATTGAATTTTTTCTTTCCTCTCCGTTCTCTGTGGAACATACGGGTTCAAACTCACTGAAGTTTCAGCAGCGGTGAGAGCTTCGCGCTCAACCCTCTGTCTCTACTGGCTTTGTAAGAGGTTAAACAAAGTTTCGGAATGTGTGGCCAGGAATCGAATCCTAACTAAATGTGCAATGAGCATTACACTATGGAAGTACTAACTCATCAAGTTGCAGTATGATTATTTTATTCAACGAATTGAAAAGTGAACTTTTCATTATTTCTGTATGACATTGTCACAAACAACGACTATACTCACCTTGAGTTGAAAGCATTTTCTAATTTCTTTCTTGTCTCTGGATTTGTTGCTTTTTCCATGGTAGGGAAAAAGTGTGGATATTTGAGAGTTAATTCCCGTTTGCCAGATGGAAGCTAATAAGAAAAAAAATTAAGAAAATGAATGTATAGTCAACATAATCGCAACAATATACATAAATATTATACTAGTATGTCTCTGGTTCAGGGATAGAATGCTTGCCAACCACACACGTGATCCAGGTTCGATTCTCCACCGACATACTTTTGTACCTCCCCCACCTAGCATCTTTTTAGCCTGGGTAAAGAAGCAAGGTTCAGCGTGAAGTTAGCAACGTCACCGAGCGTAAACAACACCACTGCTACCAAAAATTAACAGCTCATAACTTGATGTCGGACTTTCCAGTCGGAACGCAGAGGAAGGGGAAATATGTTAAGATATACTAGAAAATATATATTAAATAAGTTTTCCCGATAGTATAATCCCTTTTAATACAGAAATATATTCCAAAGTAACGCTTGTCAATCAGAATATTTAATTAGAAAATTACTGCATATTTTCGACTAATTAAGCAAAGAGATCATTGAGTGCGGTTATGAACTGAACCAGTAACTACTAGAGTTAAGTGTACCAAATTGTATACAACATAACAAGTATGGAATTTTATTCAATGACTACTTCTATTTCCATTTAGTCGGTGGTGATGGGTCAACCCTGTGCTGGACGAAGACTAGTAACAACATCTACCTGTCCAAACCTGAGTAGATCCAGTGACGGTTTGAACCTGTGACCTAGTGGGTGGAATTCGAGTGCCCAAGTCAATGCACCGAAGGCTTTACGTTGTAATAGGAGAAAATTCAAAATATCCACACCATGACTGAGGCAAATCACTTTTTTTTTAAAGTCTGTGACAGAAACTGACTAGTTCATTTTAATCAATAGGTAATTTGCATTTCACCTGAAAAATTGATTTTTTTCTCCTGATTTTTGTAAAACATTATACATGTAGTATGAAGGAAACACGACAAAACAAATAAATAAATGAATAACCAATTACCTTTTTTAAACCCTCAATGAAGTCAGCGGGACATCCAGCTAGAAATTAAAAGTAAATACATTTTAATGAACGAAACATTCCCATATTGAGTCATAAGAAAAAGGCACAAATAGAGAAGAAAATTTTCTTTTGGACGATTCATTTTAATGAGTTGTACAATCGTAATTATATTAAACAAAGAAATTTTTAGACCAATCAGATACTGGTAAGCTTTGTCCTTGAAAAATTGTATTACATGATGTTTCTTTTATTCTTCACGTTCCTAGTGGAACATAGGGCTTCAAGCTAGAGGCTTGAAGTTTTTGTAGCAGTGTTTCTTTTTACAGGATGGGGTTACTAGCCTCATGCCCAACCTTCCTTTTTCACCAGCTTTATTTCTGGCTTAGTGAGGTAAAGGAGTGCGCCGGCCGGGGATCGAACCCCGGACCATATGCATGGTAGGCGAGCGTCCTAACCGCTATGCCACCGAAGCATTACATAATGTAAGGTGTAAGAAGGGATGACTAATTGTAAGTTAGAAAAGAGACAGAAGTTAGCATGACGTAATAAGTGTGAGATAATGACTAATCAATAAGCGATCAATAATCAATACATTTTGTCTTTTTTTTATCTATGAAGTGATTTACTTCAAAGCAAATGTACTCAAAATGTCTTGCTGACTAGATTGACACAGTTGGTCTCAGTACCACAGCCAAATATTGGTGAGCGGGCATTCATCCCTATATTAAACAAATCTAATCTTAATCCCCATCTCATGTATCTGATGCACTGCATCCAGATCACGTGGAACGTTGACTTATCAACTTCCACTGTAACAAACGATAATATATTCTTGATGCATACCGTGATATGACTTGTTACAGAGTTGAAAAGTATATATTTACAAACACCACAAAATTTGTTGGCTTTCAGGTTAGTGTTGCGTTTCCCAAGGAATGATTACGCTGGACCGAAATGCTTCGTCTCTGCTGACATGTAAGCATCCAGAGTACGGATACTTTGGCTTTTCAATTCAACGCAATCAACCAAAGGGAATCCGAAAATTAACTTGAAAACAAATGGTCTAGTAGATAAGGCTTTGGTGTTTGAAATAACGGGTGCTGGCTGGGTTTGAGCCTTGCTTGGAAAACTATCACTAAGTGGGGATGCTGATACATTCAATTGACGAGTCCCAAGTAGAACGAAATGCACACCCCGATCCCACTTTCAGTCATCACTAACCAGAATAATCATAACATTTGGTGTTGAGGCTGTGGTTAATTATTAGTAGTAGTAGTCTGTAGGTTAATTAGCAAGTTAGAATCCCCTTCTACTTACCAAGATTTCGTTACAGCGTATACAAAGAGACATGACCTGCAACTGGATACATATAACTTGGAAGAACTATTTACAAATCTGAAATGAATTGCGTAAACGCTTTCTTTGCTATGAGTCCAAGTGATAGTTAACTTCAGGAGGAAGTTGCATTAATACAGCAACTACACGTCTCGTATTAGGAATAAATAAATAAATAATTCTTTAGCTCCAAGGCCCTTAATAGGTCATAGTTGATATCATTTAGTAATCAAGTCACTGAATCACTGAGCTTCAAACAACAAAAATATGGTTCGGACACTTGGCATGTGCGTTATTTCCAATAGCCTGTTGCATACATTCATCAACAGCTTCCTTCGCTTCATACTGAAGACTGGAAAGGATTAGCGACAAGGAACTCTGGCGACTAAACACCCAACCAAGGACCTAACACCCAACAAATATGCAGAAGGAAATGCAGCTGTTTTGGACACACATAAAGGAGACTATTGAGTGACATCACGCGCCAGACTCTAGAGAGGAACGCAGATAGGAAAAGACGAATCAGACTTCCTAGAGTAATATGCAGGAGGACATGAAAGCTTATGGGCCAGCCAAAAAGGGGTTGGAGAGGACAGGATAAAATGGATGTGTTCTGTCGAAGTCTTGTTTTACTCTGAACCCAAATATACAACAATAATATTGATAATCAAACTCCGAATAATTTGAAACTTAAGACTATTCAAACCAGTTGTGGCAGCACACTGACGATAACAATTCAACAAACCAGTTATTTAATCAATACTACACTGACAGGGTAAGTCACACACACACACACACATGATAATCAGAACTAAAACTACCCATTACTACTTTTCAACTTACTCAATTCCTCATCTGTAAACTCCAGAAAAGTATTTTCTTCATTCAAATTACGATTGAAATCAATAGACAATTGACTTTCTTCCTTACTCAAACTTTCTATCACTTTTCTGGCATTATCATCCAAATGAAGACCTGATAAGTAAGATTACTTCTTTTTTTTAATAGAAAGACATACCATTTCTGCGTCCCAACTGAACTTTCCTATTTACATAACGACGATATTCATCAGAGAAGGATGAATCCATTTTTGTTTGAACTGAGACAAATTTTTCAAATACATCCTTTCGCATTCTAAAAACAAAGCAAAAGTTAATAAAAAGAAAAATGTGATTGGTGAGTTGTGCACGCAAAGTTTGACAGCGGACTCATTTTTGTAGCACAAAGAGATTAGTCTGTTTTAAAGAATGGCAGAAATCAGGTTAACAAAGTAAATGAGGAAAAACCTGTAGGCTGAGTAAACAAGAAGAATAAAAACTATCAGACTGGCATACCAAAATGGTTGTATTGTATTACTGAGACTGTTACTACCTAGGGACAGACGGACAGACAGAGACCCTCATCAATAACATTAAATCAAGTTTCAGATGTAAGTTAACCTAAAGAAAATTTATTTTATTTTTGATTACAGCTTGATTCCACACAGTATTTTTGGTACAAATATGGAATTTTCAGCATGGATATCGGTAGCCCAAATTTTCCAGGCCGACCATAGATATCAGGTGTGCGTCGGCAGGGGATCGAACCTCGGAACATGTGCATGGTCGGCGAGAGTCCTAACCACTGTGCCACCGACGCACGTTCAAAATTATTATCCCTATCAGTTTCACAACTGCATACAATATGAACAGCTTATCGTGAGAATTTATGCCTTCTTATATGCACTAATCATCGACAGAAAAAACCTTAGAAATGTAAGCTGATGTGGATGGCGCCAAGGGTGTGCACCACCGACAGACCTTTTACCTAATGGATGCACTTTTAAGTTAGAAGATATTCAACTTTGTCACCGGGTGGTAACAACTTGAGCCGTTTAATGTCAAGTTATCAAATTTTCATATCAAGTGTCTCCAATGTGATCAATGACTTGAAGAAAACTGCATATAAGTACCGGAGGTTGGGAAGTCATAAACCCTATCAAGATTTATCACACAATTATCAGACAATGACTCCCAAGGATCAACTGCATGCTTACTATCCAGATAAAATAGGAAACAGTTTTGTTTCCAACAAAGCGAACTTATCTGTCCAAATTATGCCACAGTAAGGGTGACTCATTCTATCAAGCGATGATGTCTGTCTGTCTGGATTCAACATAGAACTTGGCACCGAAGTGCAGCAGTTCGAGTTACCACGTTCCAAACAGCACACAAAGGTAGACAAGAAGATGAGTGAAGAGAATCAATAGAGTTTGACAAGTATAAGAGTGAAACTGAATGGGTAATAGTAGAAAGAAATATGAAAGATTACAGAGAGTGAATACATCTGCGCCACTGACAACGATTCTGAGCCATGTCACCTATTGTCTCCAGCCATTGATTCCTAGAGTCCCGAGGGCCCCAACCCGGAAGTCTGCATCTCCCTACCTGACTCAGTTTAACTGTCAAGGATTTCATGGATTGATGAGGCCATGTTTTTGTTTGGCCACCACTTACTCTTTTCCAACCTGCACCTATGTCGGCTAGTAATGCCCGTCGGAGGGAGGCGATGGTTAGGCATGCGCAGTACGTGACCCAGCCATCTCAATCTATGTAACTTTATAGCATCGTCGTCGATTGATTTTCCCTCTTTGCCTAACACTACGCGTAACGTCAACGTTAATTACTTTATTAAACCACCTAACGTGAGACAGAGATCGCAGACATCTATGATCGAAAGCAGTCAACCTTTCCATGTCTTCAACTCGTATTGGCCATGTTTCAGAGCCATAGAGAAGGACGGAGCGAACTGTTGAGCAGTACACACGTCCCTTGGTTGATAGCCGGATGTCACGCCTACGCCAGAGATGGTGTAAGTCAGCGAAAGCAGCTCGAGCTTTTTGGGTCTGTGCTGAGATTTCATTGGCAATCAGTCCTTTGGTGCTGACACAACATCCCAAATAGGTGCAGTGGTATACATGTTCTATTACTTCACTCCCTATCACTAAGCTAGGAGTTGACGTAGTCCAGTCCTGTAACAGCATCAAGCGATGATGAACGTAGTGGAACCTGAAAAGGTTGATGGTTTATTGTTTGGTTTTTAAAAGCCATTGATACAAGTTACCAGCTAAACGTTTTAGCAACCCACACTAAACTGTTACACAGTAACCTCATAACGGCTTGAACTAGAATGAAGAGGTGATCAAAGTAGCCAGTTAAGATTAATGGATGAAACTACTTGAAATGCAAACAGAATGGCTATGGAAATCATCTAACTAACTAGCTTTCAGTTAAAATTTGAACCGGTGTCTAGATATTTAGATCTTGATGTGCTTAACCCAAACAAAAAATTTCCGGGGTATTTATGGGAAATTTCACGGCTTTTGGCGGTAACTTGTCGGAAGTGTAATTAAGATAAGTATCCATACCTATTGGGAAAGAAAATAAAACCAGCATGAAAAATTGAACTGTACTACCCAGCTAGCATCGACTTCGGGCGCAATTCAGAATGTTCGGGGCAATGACATGAAAGTTCATTGGCTAGAAATCAACAAATGGGAGTAACCCATACCTACTTCTCCAACCAACGACAGCTGACTTTGCTTAACTGCGTTACAATTAATCTGAATTAGTCATTAGTAATCTACAAAATTAAAAGATATGAAATATACTCTTTACGTTCTGAATACATTCTAGCAGACCTTTTCATCAGAAGTCCTTTACTGGAAAGGAATCCATCTTTGAAAAGAAGCAGTTGAATTCGCACGTTGTATTTCCACTACAGTGAGTAACCTGCTTGTATGTCAAACCCCACCTAGCATTTTGTTGACACTTTTTTCGATTTTTTTTCCAGCTAACATGAGTTTTAACAGTTCTTCGTCCAGCCGGACTAATCCACTAAACTTCAGTGACAACAGACCACCATATAATGTCGAAACATTCCGTCGGAAGAATTTGAGACTACGTAAGTTTACTTATCAATTATCTATTATGATGCAGAGCAAGCTAATTTTGACCAAAGACGACATAAGTCAACATTCTATCGACGTCTCAAAAAATACAATCTGGAATGGAAGAAGCATTTAGAAGGCAGGCTTGTTATTTCATACTAATGTACTCAAAATCATATGCAAAATCCCGTGAAACAGAACCAGAGCAAGAAATAACTCGACCAAACATGCGTACTCCCTAGAACATTGTCGTTTCAATTGATGTGCCTTGTAATGGCATAGCATCTCGACCGTCAGTGAAAGAACGTTTTCCGATTGAACCATCGTCTGCAACTGAGAAAACTAACCGGAGTGAGTACACTTCACTGGATGCCATTCACAACGTCGTCTACATATGCAAGCTGAGTCTGGCTAATACACTTATTGTGCTGGAAAAATTAAGGCCCCTGAATCGTAGCCTGCTGACTGACCCTTGGATATTGATGAGGACTAAAGACGCTTTTCAAAGGAGAGCAGTTGATCCCGGGATATATGTTCACATTGGCCTTCGTCGTCAGACTTAGTCTCGGTTACAAATGATCGTATATGAAGCCTCTATGACAGTATATCTGCAGATGAACATTGATGGTGCTCCAATTTTCAACAACTCCAAATTGCAGATGTGGCCTATACAAGGGAAGTTTCTGTTGTCTGGCTGTGATAAGGCAATCTTGGTAGGTGTCTACTGTGCTTCATGTAAACCTTTAAGTATACACACTTTTTGAGGGACACTATTGTCGAATTAGAATGCACATGTGCTAATGGTATCATATTACCCAACAGCCATCGGATTGACATTGAACTTAAGGGCGTCATCTGTGACACACCAGCAAGGGCACTAATAAAGCAAATAAGCGGTCACAATTCAACTCAAGGATACGATAAATGCGAGGCTCTATACCGTCGTGCAAATAATCGCTTAGTTCTTCCTACTTTATGTGCCGTTCTAAGAACAGATGCCGGATTCCGCAGGCAAACGCTGCCATGCCACCATAAGAGTAAATCTCCTTTCGACAGATTACATGTAGAGATGATCATTGTTTTTCCTTTATTCAGCATGCATCTCATATACTTAGGAGTAGTTCGAAAGTTGATTGGCCTGTGGAAAGTGATGGCCACAGGTAGGGAAGATGGTATGAATAACACTATTTTAAAAACTGTTAACTCTCGACTACTTAACTCACATAAGTTGATTCCTGAATTCCAGACCTTAGACAAAATTGACCGTTGAAAAGCAACAGAATGCCTGCTGTTTCTTTTATATTTAGGAGTCGTCTACTTGAAAGACATATTACCACCTTGCTTTTATGGCATTTTTTTATTTATTCCTAGCCTGTTACATCTTAAGTCACTCAACTTATTCTTCGTATTACCTAGATGACGTAAAAAATTTACTAATGAAATTCGAAGGGAACTTTAGGCCATTATTTGCGGAGGATAACATGGTGTAGAATGTTCATGGCTTACTGCACGTATGTGAGGACGTACGACAGCACGGACCACTAGACACTTTCTCTTGCTTCCCATTTGAGTCTAACATACGTTTCCTGCTGAGTCTAGTCACAGGTCTCAATAACCCAGCAGTCCAAATAGGTAGACGTATAGGAGAAAGATGATTAGTGGAAGCTGACTCAACCAAAATTGAGATTACTACTAATGCATCTGTGAGTGTCTAAGCAGACCGCTACTTTATCCAGTCTTGAAATAAGGTCACTTCCTCCTGACAATCGCTTTTTGGTGGGCAATACACCAGGGGTTACTTCTGAAATCATTAACGAAAACTAGTTCAGATTTCGTGCCTATAAAAAGTTCAAGGGTTTTCTTGAACAACTATTGCATTCCAGGGATATTGGAATATATCAGGTAGACAATTTAGGGGGTGAGACAAGTACTCGAACTTACAGTGAAATTCGGGGGAAGTGCATTAGCTTAAGTCTTTTGCGTAACTCCGGTGTAATTTCCATATTGCGCACCTCTAAATTGTCGCAACTTAATAACTACTCATTAGCTTACATGCAGCCACAGTTGACCGATACTAAGGATACAACCAGATGAGTTTCGTTTCGTATTTAGGTACTTTATAATACATACCCACTTTTCTATCAATATACGTCTTGAAGGCCTTCCTTTTTTCCTATGTCCCTATTTTCGTATCCAATAGTGGTAA